GGATCTCCCTGGATGTCCCACACACGCACACAACTCATTGCACACTCATACACAAACATGCTGTAGCCTATCTCTAACCTAGCGCAGCTATGGCTGCTTGCTACCTCTACCACTAACTAGCGGCTATGGCCGCTTCGTCTCCCTTTCAGCCCACTTCTTCCTCGGGCACTCGCAGACCTCCTTGCACAAGTCTCTCAGGCAGCACTTCCGCACGGCTCGCAGTCTGAATGACTGAATAACTGGATGCTGCTTCTTGATTAATACTTCGGTTGGTCGCTGGTCTGCTCCTTTCCACCGGGCCTTGGGCGCACACAGTCCCCACATGGTACTTGCTGACCTGACAAGGTGCGACTGGGACTGGGTACCGCTGACTGGACCTGGTAAGTCTACCCACTTGCCCACTTGCCCACTTGCGTACGGACTGCTTCTGAGACTCTCGAAGGGGCAGTCCTAGAAGACGCTAGATCTTCCTACTTGCCCTTTCGGTACTGTAGCAGCTACGACTAAAGTTGACCCTTCAGACCCACAGAAGCCACTACCAAACATAAGCTACGACTCCTTTCCTACAGGTAAGCAGCTCGAACCTACTGAACCCTCGTATCTACAACAGCCTTAAACAGACAACTTTAGGGGCATGTCACCGGTTCAAACATGATCTGGCAAACTGTACTGTACACGGGGTTCGGGGCAGGTCTAGGGATGGAGCCTGAGATCTACATCTGCTACTGCAAGGTGAAAACCGTTTCACCCACAGTGGTTCCAGAGGGCCTGAGTTTAAAAATGCTCCCGCCCCCGCCAAAAGAAAAGAAGGTATAAAAAATGCTGTTTTTTGTTTTTTTTTTGCGCATTCCAAACTGCTGCTTTAACAAAACTGCATTTAGTGTTTTTTGAACTTTTTTTCCTATTTGAAACTCAAACCTTGACTAAGACGTAGTCGTTTCACAGGAAAAAAGAGACGGAAAACCTGATCCCGAAAAGGATACGGGCAAGCATTCTCTTCGGGAAGCACTGTTTGTTGCTGGGCAGAGTTCGACAGTAATGTGTACATGTGAAGTGAGCCTGAACACGGCCATTTTGAAAGACCGGGTTCATGCCTTCCTAGTGTGAACATAGCACTCCCGTCTTCACCGGAATAGAACGCCCACTCATTATAGCTGTACTTGGGGCATCTTTCAGCCGCAATGCAGCAATAGATAATGACTGCGCGCTCTATTCGGGTGAAGACGGTTGGTTGTGGGATTGGACTTTGTCTTCCAGCGGTCGTAATCAGACGGTCAGATCCCACTCCAGCCATTTCAAAAATTGTAGCCCGTGGCAGCAATCTCAACAACAACAACAACAACAACAACAACAAAATAAAATGGAGGTAATTGCGAAATACCCCCATAAGTTGAGATGTATGCCAAAATGCCCCTACAAGATGTGGGTAGAGCGGAATGTCCCTCTGACCAAAAACATATTTTGTGGAATACCCCTAGCGTTGGTTGGACCCCCATCTTTGGAATATACCCCTACCGGGTACCGTCCAACTTTGCAAAATGCCCCAGTACTTGCCAACTTTTCCTAGGCGATATTGCAAAAGGCCAAGGCCCAAACGGGGAGGTCCAGATTGCAAAGTTGCACAGCCGCCTGACAGGGGCACAACACAAAGATTTCGGCCCAAAAGGGCATTCGCTCTACCCAAGTCTTTCAGGGGCAATTTGGCATATATCTCAACTAATGGGGGTATTTTGCAAATTATCTCAATAAAATAAAATAACAATAAATAAATAAATAAAATTGTAGCCCGCAGGAAAGTTGCAGGTTCTTTCCACCTATAAGAGGCGGGCCCCACTGGTGCCATATGATGTTCAATCAGAGGACAATAGGCAGCATGAACCTGGCAACAGGCGTGTCCATGCTTTCCAAGGATGAACATAACACCAGTGTGGCCTGCTCCTAAACCCTCCACGGTTTGCAGAGTCTCCATTATGATATTGATGCTTTGAGCCATAATCTACTTCAACCTCTGGTGTAAGTGGAGAGTCAGGCAGGAGATGACGCAACTAGCAAGGCAAAGCCGGCAGCACTAAAGCAAAGGGAGGGAGGCAGGCAGGAATGAAGCCGAGCAGCAAAGCAACAAGGTAAGTAATAGATGGGGACACAGTCCAGCAAGCAGCGAGGCAGGCGGCAAGGCAACTGCGCAAAACGATCAATAAGCCATGGGAACGACGAAAAGAACAACAGGGCAAGGGAGGCAAGTGAGCAGGCAAGCATCAAGGCCAAGCAGCAGGGCAGCAAAGGCACAACACAAGGCAAGTGGGCAGGTTGCCAGGCAGCATGGCGGCACTGACAACACAGGCCACACATTAAACATGGAACCAAAGTGGACTATCACTTGCATCACAAGTAGAAGTACACAGACTGCAGGTTCATGCCACTGTCGAGACTCGGGGGTCCCTTTGGCAAATGTCTGTCGCCAGCAGGGAACAAATACACGCGCACGCATCCGTAGCAGAGCAGCCCCTTTGTAGTGTTTTTCTGTTTTGTTTTTATTGCCCATTCGTAGTGTTACAGGTACTTGTAACAGACAACAGATTTAAGGCCCTGCTTGGAGGTAGAGAACAGAGCAAAAGAACCACCCCAAACACATAATGAAAAATCTAAAGAACACATGTTCAGAAGGAAAACAAGAAGAGAACTGATAAAGATGTGTGTGTGTGTGTGTGTGTGGCATACTGCATAGCCACACGGGCCCTGCAGGGCCCGTCCCGGACATTCAGCCTAAAAGCCTAAAACTTAGGGCTTACAGGCCCCGGTCGTTTCARCCTGAAAGCTGAAAAACGAGGGCCTGCAGGCCCTACTCCGTTTCAGCCTATTTCTGGGTCTTTCAGACCCAGAGTTTTTCCAGCCTGAAACGGAGGGCCATTTTCAGGCCCTCATTGTTTCGACCTGCCCC